CAACAATGTTGGTAAGGGGAAGGGAGGGAGGGGACACACAGTTCTGTTTTTTTTTCCTTTCTTATTTTTTTTTTCATTTTTTGTAACAGGAGAAACAACAAGAAAACGAGCATAATTGTTATAACATCAATATATAACAAGACGTACATAAAGATTATATTCAGTGCAAAAACAACTACGCTATGTCACCAGCACATGAAAAATGAAAAACAACAAAAACAAAAGAAGTTCCCTTAATTTTAAAATTGTTGTATTTGCTGCAGGTATCATCACACGCAGTTCAATGTGCGTCAAATATAGGCAGTTTTAGTTGTTGGGGGGTGGGGGGTAGAGGGTGGGGGAGAAGTATAGCTTGTAATCGAATCAGAGCGATGCCAACACATGTGGAATTGAAACGACGCGAGGACAAAGCTCTGAGTTTAATAGGTAGTGCTGTGGTACACAATCTCGAAGAAAAAATATTAATAAAATAATAATATTAATAATAATAACAATAATATAAAATAGTATTAGCTTGGCTTAATTGTCTTCCCAAGACTCAAATTGTCTTCAACAAGTGTTTTTTTTTTCTGTATATTGGGTAAATGCTATACACATTAACTTAACAACATATAGTGTTGAAAGAGAACACTTTAAAAATGAAAAATAAAACCTTATGAAATCTCTACATTTAAGAAATCTCTATTGCAATTTCCCCAGGTTTAGGTAGCATCAAAGGATTTCAAAAAGTTGCATTTCCCTGGTAATCCTAAGAAGAACAAAGATGTCTGAGGAGCTAATGGTTATTTTTTTTATGTCTGGGCCATAACACAGGAACTGAATAAAACCGTAACGATTCTAATAAAGAAAAACAAAAATATTGAAATGTGTGTTTTATTCTTGGCTCTTAAAGCCATGTGTAATTGCTGCGATGATGTTTGAACACTCACTACTAAAGTTACAGGCCTACATTTTGTTTTCGGAGAAGCTGCTGGCTGAAATGTTTTGTATTTTTATTTTATTTTTCTTTAAATGTAGGTTTAAATCTATGTACAACACAGGTCGGTATTTGATCTTACTGGGTTACGTTTCTAACACAGAAAACAAATTTAGGGGCGGAAAAAATGGCCATTTTTTTCCATCTAACATGCGTTTTTAATTCTCCCTTTTTTGTGCAAGGGTGAGAGTTCTGATGGATAAATTTAGCTACAAGTGTGTGTAGTTTCTCCAAATGTGTTTCAGTATAGGACAATAGAGGGAAAGGAGAATTTTGTCTATTTATGACAGCAATGTTGGTGGAATTCCTGTTCCCTCTTGACAAAATGGAAGGGTGGTCATAAAAATGACGCGCTCGCAGCCTCCTTGGGACTCCTCGTCTGTTTATGGGACCTTTCTTTTTTTTTCCTCTCTCTTTTTTTCCAGCCATATAACCATAAAAAGGACCATAAAATCACTCCTTGCTTTCTTCTTTCTCTTCCGCTTCTTTCTCCTCTGCCTCTTCCCCTTCACCGTCCTCGTTGCCCTCTTCCTCGGCCTCGGCTTCAGCCTCTCCTCTCTGACCCGGAAACTTGTCTTTGTTGTTCTCTTTTTTCCACTTCATCCTCCTGTTCTGAAACCAGATCTTCACCTGCCGCTCAGTGAGGCTCAGGGCGTGGGACACCTCGATCCTTCGCTTGCGGGTCAGGTAAGGGTTGAAGAGAAACTCCTTCTCCAGTTCAAGAGTTTGGTAGCGACTGTAGGTTTGCCTCCCGTTCCTTCTGCCTGGGGCTTGGATGTGAGGTGTGTGTGGGGAGGGGAAATAAAGTCAGAAGTTAGCTGCAGTCCCCACTTTAAAAAAAACATGATTTGTTCAAACAGATTTGACATTAGCAGTGAAAAAAAATGTCAAAACTACACATCTTCTCACCACAAAGCAGTAAAGTCGCCATTACGCACAGCAAATAACAGTCTTCTAAGTGGCAATTATTGACACTTACGCCTGTGCCATTTAGAGAAGTGATCTGTTTACATCTATAGCTTTAACTTGATCCAAATACAAAATAGCTGTTTGAAACTCTTAATAATTTATCCTGCTATTATAATTTAGAAGCACAAGCACGTGTTGGTTTGATTATATTAAAACACACATTAGTGACGTTGACACCACGCACACACACGAGAAGAAAATAAAAGTTTCAATAAAGATGCTATAACCAWCGGATGGGGGACACACTCCTAATGAGCAGATAAAGATGAAGCTTACACCTGTGTGCAGCTAATGTAGCCTGATACCCAGAACACAACCGTCCAATATCCACAGAGCTTTTACGATTATGGCTTTTTGAGTCTGAGCCACATTGGGCCTGTGGGTCAAATTACCCCCTGAAACCCGGATTCTGGGTAATCGAGGTGTCTTTTCGAGCTCACCCCTCCTGTCAGCCTGCATGCTGAAGGTGTGTGTGTGTGTGTGTGTGTGTGTGTGACGGGGTGGGGGTGATAGGGGATCATGATATTCTGACTGATCCATTTTTCTCTCCCCCTCCACTTCAAGTCTCGTGTTTAAGAGTTTGTGAAATATCCAAAGCGAACGATAATTGGACTTCAAAGAGCTGATGTTATGAGCTGTGATCTGTAATTCAGCGGTTTGAAATCAACCCTGTATAGACATGTGCTGCAGAGGTAACAGCTGCCTGCAGCTCAGCCTGTATGTGCCCCATCATGTTCTCTCATCTATTCTGTTTCATACTTTAAAAAAAACACGTAGGTATATTCGAGTGGAATTTAGGCACAAACAAACACAGACATATTAGAGAAACACACACGCGAGGCAGCAGCACGGTGACACACACGCACACACAAACGCGACACACAGAAAGAATCAAATAATAAGAATAATAATTGTATGATTCTGACCGTGGGGTCTCATCCAAGGAAACATTAGACTGGGAGAGGAGTTTTGATTTAAGTGGCCTTGTCCTTCTCCGGGGTTAGAGCTGCTCGACGATTTACAGTCTGGGTATTGCGCTAGGCTCGCGTCTTGCTGGGCACCATAAAGCGTTTGCCTCGGAAGCGCTTCATATCCATAAAATTTCGTCGCGTCTCCGTGGCAAGCCAGGGCGCAGGGATTCTGCTGGTATCCCGGGTTGGAGATCCCCGTGGTCCCGTGGTGGAAAAAGTCCTGTACGTGATGGGACGGGTGCTGGAAGCCCGGCGCGGCTGCTCCGGGTCCGTAAACCAGCGTGTGGCTGCGGGCGACGCTTTGTGGAAACCTGCAGTCGTAGTAAGTTGGCTCCAGTGACTCGCTGCCTTTGTACTTAGAAAAAAGAGGGTTAACAAAATAGGAGCTCATGTTTGGTTAGCATCAAGCAGACGGGCTCTCTCGCGCAGCTGAATATCTTTCCTTTAGGATGATGGCAGCCTTTTGTTTAGGGTCCCAACTCGCGCAGCGCGCACAGACAGACAAACCGGAACTAGGAGAAACGCTGCCCCTTCGGACAATCTACGGCAACTCACTCTCTCTGAGCCGTTCCTCTCATCGGATTTCTCTCGCAGTCGTAAGTGAGTGTGTGTGTGTGTTTCCCCCCCTCGGGTGGCTGTGCAGTCTCAAAGCCGGCTCATGCCATGTGCTTTGGATGTGCGTTGGCTAATGTTAAACCTGGCTTGCTCCAGCGGCACAGTCACAGACGCTGCTCTTTTTTCTTTCTTTTTTTTTCCTCCACAGATTCCCACCCAACCGCCCCCACCCTCCTCT